CTTGGATGGAATACAAGGATCAGGCTGGATGGACACAGTGTCTTTCCTCACTCAGCCCAACCACCTTTTGCCTTTCTCAGATTTTCTGATGGACTGTCAGATTATGTTTTGACACATTCCAATAATCTTCCAAATTAAACTGACAAGTAGTTAATTTTATAGGTTATCCTTTCTCCCTTCAACAAAGGCATTTCAATTACTCCTTCAGCCTGAAGGACCTGCGCAGCCTAGGGCTGTGCCAACTCTCAGTGGGATGCGCCAAGGACACAAAACAGGTTCCCAACAGCATGGCAATGTTGCTCAACTCCTCTCCAACAGCCACCTGGGCTCAGGCCCACCCTGAGGGCCCTCTGGGGAACCAGATGGAGTCATGGCCTGGAGGGTCTTTAGCCTAAAGCTGATAAATCCTTAGGCCCAAAGGCCCTTGCTTTTGGCAGCCAAGAGATAGAGGTGGTACAGTTTCATGCCTACAAACTGTGGCACCCCGGGCTTACTGTTCAGCAGGTCATCTTGGAAAGTGAGGCAGGAATTGCTAACTGCATCTTGATCCCCTTCCCTCCCAAGGCAACAGACAGGAATACATCTGGTAGAAAGACCACATTTCCAGCTTACCCTAAACAAATGAAGGCTATGAATTATAAATAGAAGTCATGGGACTTCTAAGAAATATCTTAAAGGTGAATATACTTGTTCTAAAGGTAGAGCCCTGTTCTTCCCTCCATCCTGGCTTCTACAGTGTGGATATGAGAGCTGGTGCTGCAGTAGTCAGCTTGTGACCATGAGGCAAATGCTAAAGACATGAAGGCAAAGAGACAGAAGATTCTTTGTTGACCCTGGAGCTGCACTTACAACCCTCCACCTATGCCCCACTGCTTGCTGTTCTGATGTGAGGAAAATAAAGACACATCTTATTTTGTTTAAGCTACTGCTACACGGAGTCTGTTTCTAGCAGCTGGATGCCCTTTATATGCACCATGGGCAGCTGCAAACTTACTCTTGTACACGGCTCTGCCACAGAGATCCCAATACACACTTTAGTGGTGGCTTTCATGTCTATGACCTAAGTGTCCTGACAGAGACCTTCTGAGCAGGCTTGGCACCCCTGGCCTGTGGGTGAATGAGGAACAATCACATAAATGAGGCTAGTTTCCCCTGGGTCTCAGTATCACTCTATCTCACCTGTGGGCTGCCCTGGACACCCCAAAATAGAAAGCATGTTGGGTGTCTCCTCTACCTCCATGAAAAGGTCTGGCCCAGCTCCCAGCACACAGTAGGGTGCTGCTCATGACAGTTCTGGAAGGTCTGTGTCTGATTCTGCTATTAGCAGAGAGGATGACCCCAAATCTCTTTCTGTAAGGCAGTGAATGTAGAAACTTTCAAACACAATAGAACATGCAAGTTGATGTCATAGTAGAAAAGCAGAGGATAGCAGCACCACTGATGTATTATTATGTCTCAAGTTTTCCAAGCCTGTTCCCATTCCTACTTCACAGCCCCTGCCCCTTACAGCAAGGTAGGTATAAACACTACAATTTTAAAGATGGAAATCTGGAGGTCCAGGACAATGGGAAGTGCACCAGAAGGTGCATGGTGGTGGTATTTAGGAGGCAGGACTCGAGGGGAGTCTCTCTTATAGAGATGTAGGGTACTCGAATGTGCTCTTATCTCTTGCACCCATCTGTACCATGCCCTCCTTAGGCATTTGTGGTCCTTCCCCCTGGCACTTGTCCTGATGTGTCATCTAGTCCTAAAACTTCCTGTCCTTCTCACTAAGTCCTCCCTATCAATGCCTAGTCCTCCTGGTCTCTCTCCTCCAGTGGTCTTACATTCTCCTATTTCTGGCCTAGGATAAAGGACAGGATTTACAGAATGCTTAATTTTGTTCTGCTGTGGTGTAGCAACTGGGGGGTGATGGAAAGTGGGGGCAATGGCACCGTATGACTGAACCCTGAAGCCTCTGGAGCTGGGTCCAGCTGGCTCCTATTACAGTTTAGATTTCAAGTATCTCCCAGAAGTCTCTCATTCAGAGGTGAGGGCCTGGCTAGAAGAAGAATATCACCAGAAGGTTACACTTGCTTCTCTTCTCTCTGCTTTCTGACCACAATGGTATGAACAGCTGTCCTCTGCCACGCTGGTTTTGCTTTGGCGCCAGCAAACCACAGACAAAACCCACTGAAACTGTAAACCAAAATATACCTCTGTTCCTTTAAGTTGTAGGTATCAGATATGTTGTCCCAGTAATAGGAAAGCTGATGTAGCTCCCTAGCCATGGGGGCCCTCCTGAAGCCAGTAAAGAGTGTTGGGGTTAGCGCCATAGCCAGATCCACAACATTGTGTTTCCACATGATGATTAGTAAGTATTATCACCCCTGACTTGTCCTGGGGCTCAATGCTTCCCTTGAACCAGCTGGGCTAGATGGGAAGGTGCTTCTTGGGGACATTTCAGAAGCTGTCACGGTCTGGGAAATTCTTTCTAGTGGTTCAAGAAGAGTATGAAATGATTGATTGCAGAACACAATGAAGTTGGAAAGATGTAGCAGAAAAGGCTGAGTCCCTGGTAGAAAAGACAAGCTCTGCTATGTGCCCGGTGCCCACACAAGGAGCTGGGTCTCTGCACACAAGGGGTAGGACGGGGCAGGATGGCCACCGTGTGTGTACAGGGAAGCCATGTGCACACAGAGAAGTCTGTGAGAGCATCAACTAAAAATGCCCCACAGTGAGTGAAGGAATAAGCCTGGCCTAAAGCCTTGGGGCTCTGGGCTCCACGTGCCAAAGTCTGGCATCAAACACTAAGGTGAAGTAAAGGCCTCTGGGCTCCAGAAGGGATGCAGATGGGAAACTGCACAAGTGGCCCGGGCCACCACCATCATTAGCTCTGAGTACTTAGCAAAATGTGGAGGAAGAATTGAAAGTAGACAAAAATGGAATAGAAGTTTGGTCTTTGCTCACAAGTGACGCAAAGTCTTACAGGGAGCTAAAGATGCTCCAGTGACTTCATCACTCTGAAGAACCTGACCTTGGCCTCTCGACCATTCCCAATCATGCCATAAGGGAGGTCTTGCTGATTTGGGGCTGCTGTTCAGCTCCAAGAGCTGGATGTTAGAGCTGGTTCTGCTAGGTGTTGGCCCATGTGATTCACACCAAGTTGATTTAACCAACATCTAGTTCTTTATGCATTAGTGACTGGAGACACAACATGTCCAGTGATAGCCTATAAATTACAGGCAAATGGAAGAAGGATCCGGGCAGCCAACATGTGCAAATGGCCATCCCTCCTGTGCAGGAAGCACTGGATGAGGCTGTGAAATTGAGCAACATTCCTTTGGAGAACTGCAAGGGCCACAACTGATGTGATACATGGGAACTATTTTGAGAGCACAATCCACCACCCAGAGACATATCCAGATCAGCCTTTAGGGCCAGCCAGCAAAGAGGGGTGCCTACCACTGCACAGGCAGGTTACTGCTCTGACATTGCCTGGAGGTGCTGCCTCCATTCCGTTTCCATCTCACCCACACAGATCCATCTTCCGATACGGCATTCTGATTGTGTCACTCATAGCTATTACGCCTTTAATGGCTCCCCAGTGCCAGCTGCATGAAAGCCAAAGTCTGAAGCCTTAAAGACCCTCTCAATCAGTCCAAGATCTGCTTTCCTGTGCTCTACACAGAACCCAAATGCACTGATAATAAAACAAGGCAGTCACAGTTAATAGTAATGGGGGATTATTAATAGCAACATTAGTCATTTTAACTGTTTCCAAGCTTATTGTTATTTTATTAAATAGACTAATTAAAGCAAACACTCGTTGTCCAGGTTTTCAGTTATTTTCCCCTTCAAATGAGTAATCCAGAATTACCTGCAGATGGACAGGTCCTTCCTAGCTGCCCTGCATTTTAATATTTCTGCTAGTCACTGCGCCGGTGGAACTGACTGCACTTAATTTATAAAGGAGGATTTATGGACTTGGGGATGACAACAGACAGCCAATCAATAAGGGATGATAATAACAGCATGTAATATCAAGGAACATTAGGTCTCAGGCATGATTTGGGGAGAGAAGTGGGCAGTTAGAAACCTTATCATTTGAAGAAGGTCAAGGCCTAACAGCCATAAAAACACCTAAGCAAATAAAATCACACCTGTGAATAGGAGAAGGTGTAAATCGCTGAATGGAAAAAGGATTTTAGATTTTGTGGATAAATTACTTCCCTGGGCAAGGATGTGGACTGCTGCAGGACAAATGCAGTATGTTAAAAGAGGGTCTATTTATTACTGCTCAGAACAATAACGATGAAGTGCAGGTGTAGAGAAAGTGTCCCAGCCAGCCAACTCTTGTCAGGGCTGAAACTCGAATGCTCTGTAAAGTGGAAGCGGGTGGGGTACATGTTGTAGAAAGACTTAAAACAACAGGGCTAAGCCTTAGCACATATATTTAAGGACCAGTGGCTTTATGACATTCTGTCTGGTCATTTTTTTTCAGGGATGAGGAAGCTTTTCATTGATTTAGTAGGTTGTTGCTTGTGTGACTGAAAAGGAAAAAGAAAACAACAACAACAAACCCCCCCAAAATTTAAAATTTAAAAAATAAAAAAGGCACAGAGCTGTATTATTAATGTTTATATTCCACCACTAAAACCAAAAACTATAATCCTTTTCTTTGAAGGACAGTCACCGCATCACACAGAACTCCACTGCCAGCTTTATTGTAAAACTCACACTTCTCTCCATTTACAAAAGTTCACTTCCACAACCCTTTCAAGGATGCATGTGCTAGTCAAGGACGTACGCCTCCTGATTTCACTACAGCTGGGACCTTGGTTCCTCTCTCCCACACTGCTTTAGTTTAGGAAGGAGTGAAGAGACAGTGGTGTTCTTCTAGATGCTTCCTTGGAGACTGCATCCATTAACTTTATTCCACTACATTCCAATTGGACTTCACAAACTCCCGCTCCTGGATCCAGACTCCATAGCCTGGGGCTTCTGGAAAGCAAGCTTACCTCCTTGTAGGGTGTACTCGGCCACGGCCCTGCTGAAGACGCCCAGGCCAGCTCCATTGTACGCGGCCACCTGGATTTCATACTGTGTCCAGATGATCAGGTCTGTCACTAGGCAGTAGTTCACTTCCGGGCTGGTGATATTTCTCTGCTGATGTTCACCAGGCAGGCCGGCTAGGCGGTACCTGCACCAGAAAAAGCCCATGACCACAAAGAAATAGCTCAAGCAGGAGACAGGTTCACTGTGGCCATTCCGCAGTTGGAGGAAAATGGAAGTGGATACACGCAGAACTGAGAAGTCAGCCCTAGATAACACTGCTTATTAATTTAACTACTTAAAAAGGTATATTCTATTCTCACAGTGATTGTAAGTTCTGAGCATAATGGAACTGCTATTCCAATGTATTATAGTTATGGAAAAAATGACAGCTTTTTAAGTGTAACATGTCTAGATAGAGTGTAGGGTGACTGAGTACCCAAGACTCTAAATATGATTTGTATTGGGGCTTGAAAAACATCTTCTTGTGACTGTAATGTGGGGGGAAAAAGATCAAGGTGCAAAAAGTATGTGACGTGTTGGCCTTTGTGGGCTGAGCTGCCGCTCTGTTTCCATTTAGGAGTTTTGGTTCCTCCAAGGGTAGCCCAGAACTGGAATAAGAGGCTTTGAGAAGGTGTTAACCTTCTCAAATGCAAATCCCTTGCTAAGATGACATGTTGCTTTTTAGAGGCCTTTGTGAGTGCCTGGGTAACATGCTCTTTAGTTTACTAAGTCAGAAGTTTAACATTGTGTTTATTAAAAAGATGACTTCTACAATTCCGCACTCAGAAACTGAATAAATTAAGAAATTGCTTTGTACTATGAAAGGATTTTTAGAACATTATTTTGATTAGCAAATATTCTTCCGTGATTCAGTTTATAGAAGTTAATGTACTGAACTAACTCCATTAATTTGCTGAGCTTTTCTGGATCAGTCTCCAGGATAAGACAGGAGATATGTGCGATAGGAGTGGCTTCCTACTCAACCTGCAGCTTTCAAAAGCATCCACTTTCTACCCCAAAAATGGTTCTTAGACTGCTCCAAGAATGTGGCTTTTTTTGATAAATGGAAAGGGGAAATGACTGATGACAGATCCAAAACCAGAGTAGCAGCAATCAATCTGTTTGCTTGTCATGGCCTGCTGGGATTCCCAGCATACCCTTGGGACTGCCTGTCCCCAGGGCATGAGACCTCTGCATGAAGGAACACACTTGAGGAAGGTGAGTGTGGATGGCGCATCTATAAAGCAACTGAAGAACTCAGTCAGTTCCTTTTAGGTAAACCAATTTTCTAAAGAGAATAATTGCTGAATGTGTAATAAGGAAGCAGAGAGAAGATAATAAAAATTTTTGCATGAAAATCAGGATTTTCTGCTGGCATTCTTTCATCCCCTTTTGCTGGAGATGTTTTATACCTGATGAGGCTGATTCGGGGAGGGCAACAAAGATGGCCAAGAACAGAGAGCATGTGAATGCAGAGTCTGACCTCTCTCTGTCTCTTGCCTGAGGAGAGGAAATGGCTGCAGTCTCAGCTGGTGTGGATTAACCCATGTGACAGGTATTTCCACTTAAATTCCTCTACAAATGATGAACTTTAAAAATAAATGGCATTGAGGACAATTAGCAATTTAGAAGGAGGTTAAAAAAATTGGCTCCACATCCGCATCAGCATAGCCGCAGCAAGCTATCTGTATCACTGAAAGCTCAAAAAGGTTTGCTGTCACTGACCCATGGCCACTACGATACAGTGAGTAAGACTGCAGGAAGGGCTCACTCTTGCAACCCATCTCTAAACAACACATGTTCCAGGCAACAGGAGAGAAACTGGCATGGGATGGTTGAGGTTAAGTCCCTGTTTAGCCACTGGGCGTTGAGTGACCTCAGGCAAATTCTGAACTTCTCAAACCTTTGTTTCCACCTCTCTAAACTGGGAATTAGAGTAACACCTTTTTACCAAGCAGCTACAAGAATGAATGAAACAATGGATGTGAAAGAGATGTGAAAGTGTAGCATGTCCCTCATTTTGTTTTATACACTGTTCTTCTAATAAAGCATGGAAGAGATGCCTCTGAGTTATAAGACAGGAAGCCTGTGCTGCACACCTGTAATCCTTCTGCTCTGGCAGGCTGAAACATGAGGATCTCAAATTTGAGCTCAGCCTGGGGAGCTTCAGTTGGTAAGATTCTGTCTCAAAATAGAAAGAAAAGATTAGGATGTACCTCAGTGCAAAGGCTCTGGGTTCCATCCCCATGACTACTAAAGAAGAAGGAGGAGGAGGAGGTGGAGGAGGAGGGAAGAGGGAAGATAGCAGAGGAACAAGGGAGGAGGGACAGAGGAAAAAGAGAAAAAAGAGGAGGAAGAGGAGGAGGAAGAGGAAGGGAAGGAAGGAAGGAAAATGTAGGGAGGACAAGGAGGCCTGCATAAACATTTGCCTTTGCCACTCTAAGACACTGAAAATGAACAGCAGAACTCACTTCTTCAAAGTCATCTGTGCTCCCTGCTGAACAGGCAGGTTGGCCCACTCTAACCAGTGGCTAGGGATGCTTTCGTAACTTTCACATGATGTCTAAGAAGGTCACAATTAATAGGGGGATTGCAGGGCATCCTCTTCTTCTGGGTAGACTATGTTGCCCAGGAGACTGGCTCAGCCAGAACAAGATGATTTTTTATACAGAAATAAACAGGAGAATGTTTTTAGAGGACATAACCCTCTGCTCCTCTCAGAGAAACACCCTGCCTATTATTATAAATATTTTATTACTGCCCACGCAGCCTAACAACTTCTTATAGCCAGAGCCGTGGAGGTGATTTATTTCCATTTACTCCTTGTGTACTGGGCCTCGGTTTTGACAGAGACTGTGCCCTGGAGGATGCATGCTTGCAAACCGAGCACTGATTTGCAGACCAGAGGATTATTTGAAGATGTTTCCAGGAAAATTCATTTTGGCATGGGTCTTTAATTCCTGAAAACTTTGATATTCACAGGCCTTGGGTACCAGACCTCTATTTTAGGGCTTTCTTGATTTAAGTCCCAACAAACACACATGCCCTCTTCTCAGGCACTCAACTCTACTGACACCATCATGGAAAATCCTTTTAACAGTAGTAATCCTACAAAATAGAGAAATGTGCAATCCCTGATGTGGCCTCATAGCATCAGAGAGATGTTATTATTAACTCTGTGCCCGGAGCTTGCTTTTGCAGGATGACTTTTAAAGTCCTTTCTTGACAGCTGCAGCCCAAGGAAACTTTGCTTCCATGAGCTGGGAGAGGCAGGGGCTACATGATGCCTGGCAAAGGAGGGGCCGCCAGGGAGGGCAGGCCAATTATTCTCATTAGTGGATGGGTATGCACAAGGGGTGACAGTTAGAGCTGGAAAGGACATGAACCTCAACCACACAGCAGCAGAAAAGCTGAGAAGGTGGTCAGGGAACAAAGGGCTGTCCAGAAGCTTCAGCAGGAGCAGAGCCCAGGGCCTTGTTTTCAGGGGATGACCCTCAATTTCTCTGGCTTTTTTAAATGGAGAAGGACAGCTGGGGACACAGAGACAACAGGTACCATGAAGTTGATTCCAGCCTTTCCTACACACCCAGGATGGGCCACTCTGCCATCTCAAGCAGACAATGGTCTGGAGAGTCCAAAGACCTGAGGAAACACTTCCAAGTGGCAGTGAACTGATTGCTAAACACACAAAGATAAACAATATTCTCAGAGGTATGGATGATCATCAAACAAAAAGATAATGGAGTTAAAGAAGCAATACTTTCATAGCTTCTTATCTTTAGCTAAGAAATCAAACATGCTTACTTAAGACCTTCCTTAACGAAGTACATTATTTACTAATTACAGGCTCAGTGTGAGGCCAGGGCATACATTTGGAGAAAGGACATAGTGGATACCAATAGTTCTTGCCCCAATAAAGCTGATAAAATTAACAAATATATCCACAGCAGTATAATATATTATAGGAGATTTAATAATTATTCTTTAATACTGTGTTAGTTTTTTGTTTTTACTGTGTCAATAAACCACCATAATTATCACATTCGTGTGATTGTTATATTAGCAGGAGTTTTGGCAAAGGATACTTCATCTGTTGAACACAGCCAAGTTCTCACATGGCTCTCTCCATATTTTCAGAAGCCTACCATCCCTTCTGAGGCAGATGAAAACTGACCACCCTTCAGCCACATCTGGCTGGCAGATGTGAGTATCTGCCCTGCGGTATATCTCAAAATACAATAGTTTCATTTCCAATGCTGAAATGTTGTGAGCTTGTAAGAAAAAGGCTAGATGCTTTGATTTCCTCGAAATGGTAGATCAGGCAAAATTGAGCAGCATGTTAGCATGTTAACAACTGGCTCAAAAGTATGTCAAACTAGTTAGCGTGGATTATAAATGAATAAAAGAATGCATCTAGTAAAAAAGGAATGAAAGGATTTACACTCAATAGCCTGCTTTGCTTCCTTACCTGTGTTACGGTTTGTGTCTAGTTGTCCCCTCAAAGCCTCATGCAGCATTGGGGTGGCTTCTGGAGTTTGGGATTGATTACTGTGGGTGTGCATGCTGCACCTGCCCTGGGGCAGGTAATTTGCCTTACAATGTAAAGAGCCAAGAGAGGCTAACTAGCTGCCTGAGCTGCTGCCAGTCCCTTTAGCTCTCCTGCTCTTTGTTGCTGCCTTGAAAGGTTGTTCTCTGCCTTGGAGCCAGCTGAATATGGACTGAAACCTCCTTCCTTCATTTTGAGTGTCAAGTATTTGTCCCAGCAATAAAAGAAGAGTAACTGAGACAACCTGTAATGTACCTCTTCATTCTCCTGCCTAAACACAACCACTGGTACTGCGTGTAGACCTCACAGGTAGACATGTACAGGGGCCTCCTCAAGGCGCCACATTCACTTATGCTCTCCCATTTGCCACTGTACCACCACTCTGAAGAGTCTGGGCCCTGAGGCCTCACATTACCAACAGATACCTAGTAAAGTAGAGACTTGACTTCCTACTGATAGCTAGAATCAATCAGTACAGGCTACTTGCCTGAGGATATACCCACGCAGCACTCCATTGTGCTCTGTTTCTGGGGGAGGCTGCCACTGCACCATGATGGACTGGTTGGTGCGTCCACTGGCCACGATGTTTTTTGGGGGAGCACTGGGTGGTTCTTCAGGTAACATCAACCTACAAATAAAAGAAGAGGTGGAGAGAAAGAGATAAGCACCAGACACAGGGGACCTTGACAACATTCTCCACCATGAGGAACCTAGATCTCATTTGGAAATATGGACATCAAGAAACATGGCTCATCTTACTAAGAGATGTGTGCCAGCAGTTACAATCATCTAAGAGGAGCAGATCAGTAAGGGGGTGGCATAGAGGATGCCAGGGTGCCCTGTTCTGTCTTAAGTACCCAGTTTCTCGGCACTGGGAGAGGATGACCAGCTGGGTGAGCTGAGTGACCAGAGACTGAGGTTCCTTCTAGACTGTTTTCTTTGGCTCTTTCACTATTTTTAATCTTAAACTCCCACATTTGAAAAAAGTAATTTAAATGTCATCCAGAGCTCAGACTGTCTGGAGATGGCTCCTTATAACTAGAGGGACTCCCAAGAGCAGCTCTCAGGGTCTGTGTTAGCTCCTAATCTCCTGAATATAGAGGGCTGTGCCACATGGAGCCATTTATGTAGGCACAACCAGAGCATCACAGAAGGAACCAAAGATAGACTCCAAGCAGTTAAGGAGCATCCAGCTTGTTCACCTGACCTGTACTAAGGGCTGTGTTTGCCCTCTCTATGTATTTGCCCCTTTGGTTGAATTTTTGCCAGTGTCCCTAAGGGATGATGAAAGAATTGGGCTGGGGAGATAGCTTGGTGATCTAAGTGCCTGCCTGGCAAGTGCAAGGACCTGGGTTTGATCCCCAGTACTGCATGCTGTGCTAACTCCAGAACCATGCTGGCCACTGAAACTGGACATGGTGGTGCATGCCTATAATCCCAGCTTGGGGAGGTTGAGACAGGAGGATCACTATGAGTCCAAGCTGCATAGCGAGAGCCTGTACCAAAATAAATAAAAAAATAAAAGAACTGCCTCTACCCATGTAGCTCATGTGTTTGATGCTGAGGCCTGGGTTTCACTCACCTGCTTGTTTCTGTGCTGTACTGGCCCTTGCCCACTTGGTTCACTGCGCACACTCGGAACTGATAGGTGCGGGCCGGGGTCAGGCCACTCACGGTGATGCCTGTCATCTCGGGGCCAATGTCTGACAGGTGCACTTTCCAGGGAGAGTCTAAAGGATTGAGCAAAAGAATCAAAACCTAAATAAGTACGTGTCTTCATGGTAAGTGAATGTAAATGCCCTCTTATCCGTTCTCTCTTCTGCTTTCGAAGACAGTGCTAATAGAGAGGGCATGGCTATCCCCATTAACCGACGTGGAGACTGAGGCTCAAGTCATGTGACCAGTAACCAGTGAATTCTGGTTTCTCACTTCAAATCTAGCACACTTCCTGTCATCCCTATGTTGCTGTTAAAATATAAAGCAATTTGGAGTTCAACTTGCATATGATGTTTAAAAACTTTTGAAAACATTCTTAAATCCTGGGTGTAATGGGAGAAAGTTCTGTTAGCTCACATGGTTAGGCAGACTACAGATTTGTCTCCCAGAAAATGATGTTGCACATGTCACTGAATGATAAATAAAAACTAAATTCATTAACATTTTAATAAAAGAGGAAATGAGCATGATAAAGACAGATGGGCTGTGCATTTTGCAACCCATCTGCAGCGTGGCAGCCCGTTACCACCACGCCCCTGAGTGGCTCTGGCTGGAGAAATGGGATGGGATTCACCACGAGTCTGGAATATCTTTCTACCACTTTCTGGCAGGTGTGGAGGAGCGACTCTGTCAGCCAAATGGGCTGTTGCTGCAAGCAGGCTTCCGGAGGTTCTGTGAGACCCAACGCCTTTGCAGAGTGTAGGCAGGCTTCTTGGCCGAGCCATTTTTCCGAGTGACGCTCTGGACCACACGTGATATGGCATGACTTTGCCCACCCGCTGTCGGCTCCCACTCCATGTGCAGTGATGCCTGGACTACATTTCCAAGTGCACGTGAGGTGAGGTGCAGGGAGGAAGAGCACCACCTGGTTCCTCTGAGGTGGTCCCTTGCATCCATGCTAGAAATGGTCCAGAACAGCTGGCACATGACTTCCTGTTAGTGTGCTGGGCTCTGCTCAAACTTTGGACAGTGCCACCGACATGTCACTCCCACTTGCAATCACAGCCACCTGTTAGGCTCCTGAAGACCTGTCTATGGGACTCACGTGATGTGGTGGCCTGAGAGCTGGCAATGTGTGCATGGAGCCCATTAAAACACACTAGCACTTGGCTCCCCACCGTCATCAGAAAGTGAACACCATTTCTTCCAAGATGAAAATGAGACCCCAAAAGCAACTTCTGTTGACTCTCACTCAGAGATGTCTATCATTAATCCAGAATTTGTTGACTTGAGTGATTCTTTAACACAAGTTAAACTGTGCTGAAGCATGATGCCAGTTGGCCCACAAAGACTGAATCTTTTTAATTATTTCGAATAAAGCTGCTTCCAAAAATGGCTTTCTGGGAATGCAGTCTTCACTACCAGCTGGGCTATTCTGTGTTCTTGGCTCTGGCTTTCTAGTGACATGAGTAATCACAGTGGATGAGGATCCTCTGTCTTTATGTTCCCTTTAAAAACAGAATGTATGCACCTCCAGTTAGCTTTGGACAGACCTGCCACCTCTCTTCATGCTGGAGTCTGACAGCCTCCTCTCCACATCAACAGCTCATGGTAAGCTGGTTTTCCAGGCAGGCTCCCTTACAAATGAGGGCCACTTGTCTCCACAGAGGGCAAGAGAGCCTTCCCTAATATCATATGGCTGATATGGAGCAAGGCCTCCCTTACTAAGATGATTTTTTTGATGGAAACTGTCTTCATTTCAAAGACTACTGGTGCATGGTAAGAAAAACAGAGACTACATGTTGGCAACAATGTAATTGGCTATAAGCTCTTGAGTTGGATTTTGTTTGAACTTGGGTAAAAATTAGAGACAAATCAGAACTACAGAGACATACTATCTGAATGCATTAGGATATTATTATCAACAAATTAGAAAATCACAGTTGTTGGTGAGGATTTGTATACCACTGAGGGGAGTGTAAAATGGTGTAGCCACTATGAAAAACAATGCCTCAGAACTCCCATACTTGCCTGTGTCTGAAGTCAATATCAAGAGCACTTGCCCACCGGCAAGTGGCTTAGTAGATGGAGATTTATGGTATGACCTCCCCTGGAGGACCAGGAGGAAGTTTGGCTCTACTGAGTCCCCTGAGAGGATGCCTTGGACTTGCCGTGTCTTCTATTCCTCTGTCCTGGGCATCTCAAGATGGAAGCTCTATATAACCTCTTAAAGCTCTGTGACTCCCCTGGTCTCTGTGTTCCAAGGATTGAGAAGGCTCTGAGACCAGTGGCCCCAGGTCACTGTGTCTCCCCCACACCTCTGTAAGCACTCTAAAACCTCTCCTTTTATCATTCTTATTCAAGAGTGCTGGCTGTTTCCTGTGGAAGCCCTGAGTGATATAGCCCCCACTAAAACTTCTCTTTTACCCCTCTTCCTTTAGATATTACAGTGTCTGGAAGGGAAAGACTCACCTGGTCAGTTAGATACAGAGAGAGGGACAGCCGGTGCAGGAAGGGACAAAGTCAGAAGGACAGGTGCTATGATCAGTTGACTATAAGGATTTGTTAGGCCAAGGGGAAGGGCAGGGAGGTTCCCGGGATGCTGCCTACTATGGCCTGAATGTGGTGGTATGCCCACCAACTCTCACACTGAGGTTGGCAGGTGCTGTTGGGAGGTGGTGCTTTGGGAGAACTGGGGGTTTTTAAAAAGGATTAATGCTTTCCTTGCAGGAGAGAGTTCCTACTTTTGTGGGACTGGATTGTTTACCTCAAGAGCAGGTGATTGCAAAGGGAGTTGGCACCTCTCCTTACTCTATCTCTATCCACTTTCCCTTCTACTTCCATGCCACATGTGACACTGCTTGGTCCTTATCAGATGCCACATCAAGCTACTTGAACCTTCAATCCACCAGAAACATGAACCAACTAATCCTTTTCTCTGTATAGATTATCTAGCCTCAGATATTCTGCTATGGCAACAGTCACATTAAGACACTGCTTTTTCTACCCCCAGTGCCACCCTCTGCCCCTTGTGACCCTCAGCCATTTGTTCATTTGGAGTGTAAACAGCTCTTGAAAGTCTATAACCTGAGTTGCAGGGTCTGCTGCCCAGTTTGATTTGACAACGGGGCCTATTAATCTCCTCTGTGTCTCAGGCTCTGCTCAGTCCTCTGGTTGCATCTATAGAATTCTTTATTTATCCTTTTTCTTTCCTACTAGAAGATAAAAGATGTGGCAGGAAGAGAGATTAAACTGAAAACTAATACAAATGAACCCGATCCATCTCATGGGCACTCTGATTTGTACCCAAAAGAAAAGTAGTTTGGGAAGGACTTGCCTGTTCACAAGCTTCAGAATTGCAAGCGTGCTGAGAACTGTTAAAATTTAAATAGAAGTCTGTTCCTGACAATCAATAAGCAGAAGCCTTTTAAAGATTCTTCTTCCAGCCAGTCCCCACAAAAGAATGTGACACAATGCTTGTCTGAGGGGCTGGGATATAGAAGAATCTTTTGATGAAGGCAACCATTCCATAAAAGTTTCAATATCTTTTTCCTCCTCTTCAGAGCTCCTCTTGTGCCTCTGATGTAGGACACGAGGACTTTTAGACTTCCCTAGCCTGGCTGGTAAACAAACCTCTGTCACAGAGAGGGGCACTGCTCATCTCCATCCCCACTGCAGGGCTCAGAACCCTAGAGGACTTAATCACTCCTCATTCTCTGCTGGCTCTAATGCTGGAGGTTTCCAATCTTTAGGAATGTTCCAGAAGCTTATTCTGATTAAAAAAAAGAGCATTGCCATTTTCTCAGTTAATGGTACCTGAGGAAGGAATGATTTTGAAAGAAAATGATTTGAAGGAAAATTTTTCCTAATTGCTAAGAGAACTGTCATTAAAACCTGGCATTTGCAGATCAGTGCAAGTCTGAAAGCATTCTCCTCCTTACAGTTGAGAAATTAAAGGCACATGGAGGTATGAATGATTCTCCCAAGCTTTACAGGTGGTGAATTCATAGACTTATGGATCAACCTTAATATCTCCAAAAGTAGAATGTGAGGCCTCCCACGATGCTGCGGGATGTGCCCCCACACATGCACATATATGTGCGTGCGTGCACACACACACACACACACACACACACACACACACACACTCTATGAGGGAGCAAAAAAAATCTGAGACCAAATATGAGTCAAGTTCTCTATGCAATAAATATGTAGGACCAATTCACTGACCCTATGATCCCACTGCAGGGCGAGGGACACTCATAAGAGAAGTATCAGGGTCTCTGTTCAGTTGTGAGGGAGGGTCTGTGGGGATTGTGCTGATTAAAGGCACTAGGGATGAGCCAACAATACAATAGATGGATCAAGTTTGAATCTGAATGCCAACAAATCAACTGTAAATTTTTTTCAGACAATTAGGAATATACAAATAGTATTAGTTGATATTAAGGACTGCCACTGATATTTTGGGGTGTGATTTTTCTTTTTTAGTTGCTTACTGAATCACGTAGGAATGAAATGACATAATAGTTAGGCTTTCTTTTAATGCTTTTAAACATTTTAGCAAAAAAAAAAGAGAGAGGGATAGATGAAACAAGTGGTGAAAAATGTTAATGGCCATTGAAGACATATTTCTGTGTCTATTTAGTACTTTTTATAATAAAAGGTTTTTAGATAGTGACTATTTTGTCACAACATTGCCAGCACTGATAATTTATAATGGCCTTAATTGTCCATTTGGTTGATAAAAAACATAATTTTATTCATGCTACACCTTGTATTTTATTTGAAAGCATATGAATATTACTTCATTAAAACAAGGCTACTTCCCTCAGGCTACAGAGTTAAATGGAAGAATTAAAGTGCATAAAATTTATTATTTTTCGAATTCTAATTCCACTGCAGTTTTTCTATAGCTACCTTCATATTATGTCTCCCAAAATATAAATATTGGATGACATTAATAATGAATACTCACCAGATAAACCTCATTAGGATCTACTTCATTCACTACTTGATCCTCAGCAGTTACAACAGTGCCCGACAGAGGGTCGAACTCAACACTCACCTGTTT